GAACAACTGGTAAAAGTTGTAGATAGTGATGAGTTGGCCGACTCGTTTCGAATGCGTTCTGCATCCATTATCAAGGCTGAATGTTGTGTGAATTGTGATTTACTATTGGTGGATATTTATAGGTATGGGTAAGCAGGTGGTGGTATCTAGCTCGTGGAAGGCGTTAATTGGTGGAGTGTTGTATTGTGGCTTGGGGGTTTCTCACCAAGAAGTAGCAGTGTGCGTGTTGTTCCTGTCGATTGTTTGTTGATTATGGGAGTAAACCTACAGACATCAGTCTTGTTTAACAAAATCTGCTTATTTATTATGATAGACAGTATTAGATGTTATAATAAAATTACAACTCATATGAAACTGTGTAGCTCCAGCATGTAAAGCATAAACATAACTGAGCAGTAAAAGTCTATTATTCAATAACATAGGATTTGGTTGTTCGTCTTAAAGTATTACATTGTGTATGTTGTTTAATCACTGTTTTTGTAACCAAGATTACATAACTTGTGACAGTATTTTGGGAACTTGCAGACATGAGATTAATTTTGTGATTTTATACAGTATTTGAAGAAATGTCTTAGTAAATGGTTGTGTTTTATATATATTTTGTAAACTAGATGAATTGTGGAAAGCATGGAGTGAGGAGTTGTATGTTTTGAACGTGACAGCCTTATGGTGTGAAATCAAAAGTAGGCTAGTTATTAAATAAAATAATTTCAAATTATTATACGAAAACCAAAAATAATATATAATATGTTTCAAATTTTAGAAAGTATATTTATTTTTTGACAAAACTATATGCATAGGTATTTTGAATCAAAATGTTACAAATACCATCCATACAATGCTTTTGGCAGTTCAGTTTTCTCAGGTATGAAGTGTACAATGTTTTTCATGTAAGTTATATACATATATGTATGTGTGTGTGTGTGTGTGTGTGGTATCTGTGTTATTTTTATTGTTTTTTGACATTTATTAATTAATACTTTACAGCATATCATGCACAATTTCCCACACAAACCGATAAAAGCCATTGTTTATATTAATATTGACGTCAATAAAACTGGTGTTTGTGTGTGTGTGTGTGTCTATATATGTATGTATGTATATATATATATATATATATATATATATATATATA